CGTCATCTGTCTGAAAATCAGATTCTGAACATTCTTGTACATTTAACTCGCAAATTTCAGTTGGCTCCACATCTATCATTGCTCCACACGGATCTCGTAAAGTTGGTATGTTATATTCCTCAATTTCAACCGTGTTAGACACTTCCTCCTGTTGGTAGGCTCTATCCGTCCAGTGTTCCTCGATTTTCCTCCGTGCTTTGATTTTACATACAGCCCACCAATCAGCTTTGTCACGTTTCAAACTAGGATATGATGCATAACATACTTGAATTGCTTGTTGTGCCAAGACAAATGGTTCATACTTCATATACCTTTTCTTGTGATTTATTTCAACCAAATTGAACTTTGTATGCACCTTCATTCCTTTGACGGGGTCGAACCACGTGCACTTAAATAACACAACCCGCATCTTTAATGGTCCAGGGTACTCTATTTCTATGATTTCATCCAACAAGCCATAAAAATCATCTTTCGAACTGTCACCATTAAATGACCGAACAGACACACCACTATTCATTGTGGATTTTCCCATTCCATATTCTTGAGTATGAAAATTATATCCATTTATGAAATATGCTGGCCAACTTCGAACTCTTAACTGTGGACTCCATGACAGATAATGTAGCAATCCTTGCCCTCCAATTTCATCATAATTACTGTGAACCTAAGGTTATACATGCAAAGTTAATAATATATATTTAACTAAATGATGTATATAATTTTAATAACGTGGTTTTGATCCATAGACAACTTACATATGTCTTGAACCATGCTGCAAATTGTTCATCGCACAAATGGTCAAACTCATTTGGTTGTAGTCCAAACATTGAAGTTTGGAAAATCCTAATATTAAAAACCATATCATTATTAGTAAATATTTGACACGCAAAACATATATTTACAAATTTACACTTACTTGAAGTATGGCTCGACTTCTGGACAGTTCAGTAAAATATAAGTATGGGCTGCATGAAGTTCTTCGCCTGATAAGTAACGAAACTGACATCCGCCGCTTGGTCGACCCAGATAATTGAAAATAGAGAATGCTGTGCAATTGGGATCAATGGGGCCCTCATCATTTCTGCCTGCTCTCTGCCTCTTGCATTGAATGTGCGGCTCAAAATAGTATGATGCAAATGTCGTCACTTCTTCCACAATATATGCATTACAAATTGAAGCTTCAACATGTGCCTTATTCTTCACTTTTTTCTTCAAATGATATAAGAATCTAGTTGAAATAGAAAGAAGCTTATCGGGACATATTATATGATAAACTCATTTGAACTGTATTTTAAAGAAAACATTACCTCTCAAATGGATACATCCATCGAAATTGAACGGGACCTGCAACTTTGGCTTCATAAGGCAAGTGAACTAAGAGATGCTCCATCGAATCAAAAAACGCCGGAGGAAATATCATTTCTAAGTTGCAAAGAATAATTGGAATATCTCTCTCTAGTTTTTCCATGTGCGATGCTTTTAATACTGTCGAGCAAATATCATGGAGGAAATTGCTTAATTCTGTAATGGCGCCCCATACAAAGTTCGGTAAAACTTCCTTCAAAGCTATTAGAATTAGTCTTTCCATCAGGATGTGACAATCATGACTCTTCAAACCTGTCAATTTGCATTCCTTCAAATCAACACATCTCCCGAGGTTCGAAGCATATCCATCAGGAAACCGCACAGATTTCAACCATTGACAAACAACTCGCCTCTGCTCCTTATCCAATGTATAAACCGCTTTCGCTTTTGGTCCCTCTTCGCTTGCATCCACAGCTAGTATTGGCCGATCGCAAATATCTCTCATATCTTTTCTTGCGTTCAAGTTGTCTTTTGTTTTTCCGGCGACATCCATCACAGTATTTATGACATTGTCGAAAACATTCTTTTCTATGTGCATGACGTCAAGATTATGATGAATAAGATGGGCCTTCCAATATGGTAGATCCCAAAATATACTGCGTTTTGTCCACTTATGTATACTTCCGTACTCAAAAGTCGTGCCGTGCGGGTTTTCAACATCAGTTGGAAAGTCCTGCACACGCTCCCAAATTTGATTGCCAGTCAACCTCAATGGTGGACGCGTTCTTTCAGTCCTATTCTTGCTAAACTCTTTCTTATTCCTTCTGAAAGGATGACTTGGCGGTAAAAATTGTCTGTGACAGTCAAAATAGCTAGGCTTCTTTCCATGTTTTAATCTAAATGACTTTGTCCTCTCCAAACATATCGGACATCCTGAGATCCCAGCTGTACTCCATACAGATAACATTCCGTAAGCTGGAAAGTCATTTATCGTCCAAAGAAGGGCAGCCTTCATAACAAATGTTTGCTCGGTAGAAACGTCATACGTAGGGACACCTTCAACCCATAGCCGTTGTAACTCCTCAATCAATGGTTGCATATAAACATCTATCAACTTTTTCGGATTTTGCGGCCCTGTCACGATCAATGTCAAAAACATATAAGGTGTCTTCATGCACATACCAGGTGGAAGATTGTACGGCGTTAAGATAACTGGCCAGCATGAATAACTTTTTCCTGTTCTCCCAAATGGAGCAAATCCATCGGCACGAGACCTAACTGATGTTCCGAGGCTCCATTGCAAACTCAGGGTATGTTCTATCAAAATGTTGCCATGCCTCTGCATCTGAAGGATGACACATTAGACCCTCTTCTGTTTCATGATTTGCATGCCAAGTCATGTGTTCAGCAGTGGCTTTAGACGCATAAAGCCTTTGCAATCTGGGGATTAAGGGCAGATAAAACATTTGCTTGCATGGTTTACGCTTCTGATTACGACCCGGCCTCCTATTAATCTTGTACCTAGGTTGGCTACAGAATTTGCAAGATTCTGCATTTTCATCATCTCTCCAATATATCATACAACCCCTACTACATACATCAATCCTTACAACCGGAAGACCTAAGTTATCCACTAGCTTTTTCATATCATAAAAATCACTTGGCATGTTGTTATCACGAGGCAATGATTCCCGCATTACTTCAACAAAAGAGTTGAAGCAATCCGCAGACACATTATGCTCTGCCTTGATATTTAATAGTCGGGCTGTCACCGATAACTTAGTGTGGTCCTCACAACCTGTCCATAGAGGTTCATCTGCTGCTTTCAAGACATCCCAGAACTGATTAGATTGAAAAGTTTTATTATACACATTCTCCTCAAAACCCGTTACTCCTATATCTTCCAATTGTGAAGCATGACTAGTACCCACTTGTTCACGTGTAGGAGTAAAACTAGTACTTGCATGATTTGCTTCTGTGACAAAATTATAACTAGCTGCATCAATCACCATCCTCTCGTATGGGTTCAATTGCTCATAATAGCCACATTCTTTCCTAACTGAAAATTGGTCACTTCTTCCATATCCTTCATCAGATATAAATGGTTCACCATGGGAAGTCCAATTATAATAGTTCGGAGTAAACCCAAATCTAATAAGGTGTTCTCTAACTTGATCACACACAAGAAATTTACCATTACCGCACTTTTTACACGGACACCTTAACTTATTTCCATCCATAAACTCATATTTACTACTAGCAAAGTCTAAAAATAGTTCCAATCCAGTACGAAACTCATCTATCAATCCTTGACGTCCAGGTAAGTTCTTATTATACATCCAAGCCCTTTCTCTTTGCAATGTGTCTGTATTAAAATAAAAAATTCTGGTAAAATATTTAAAATATCATATCTATTGTTGTTAATTAAAACCATAAAATTTTGGAAATTATAATTTATGTTATTCACGCAACAATTAATATCAAATTGCAAAAATAGACAAAACTACAATGTAAAGAAGACTTACCCAAATATTTGACTGAAATATTTGTAGGAGAAAGTGATCAATTTGATGAGAATTGCAACGTCCACTTGGATTGCGAGACTTCAATTAGGCACATACCCAAAAAAGAATAATCACTTAACAATCATTTTTTAATAATTTTTAATGTGCGATGGAAACGGAATGTATCCGTCGCAAATTTGCGACGGAATTAGTTTTGCGTCGCAAATTTCCGACGGATACTCAACTCCGTCGCAATTTGCGACGGAATTTTCATTTATTCGTCGCAAATTTGCGACGGAAGACTATTTCCGTCGCAAATTTGCGACGGAAGACTATTTTGCGACGGATACTAGGTTCCGTCCCAAATTTGCGACGGATACTCAAATCCGTCGCAAATTTGCGACGGAATTTTCTTTATCCGTCGCAAATTTGCGACGGAATCAGGTATCCGTCGCAAATTTTGCGACGGAATTTTCATTCATTCATCGCAAATTTGCGACGGAATTTTCATTTATTCGTCGCAAATTTGCGTCGGAAACTATTTCCGTCGCAAAACGGCGTAGCCGTTCGGCCTCATCCAAAGGCCGGCGAGGTGTCGCCGGTCGTTAAACCGGTGATGCAGATACAAAAAAAAACAAACATAAACATATATTAAAAAAACGGAAATTACAATGCAACGACGAATAGTCACGAAGCTAGCTACGACACTTACCGGTACAAAAGCTTCACCGAGATTAATATGTGCGTGCGCGGATTTTGCTTATTTCAGACAAACGAAAGAGGGAGAAAAACGAGAGAGAGCGAGAGAGAGCGAGAGTGAGAGATAGGGTTGGAATATCACGGGCTGATAAACTACGAATTTGCGACGGACGAAGTTTTCGTCGCAAATTTGCGACGGACTTACAATGCCGTCGCAAATTTGCAACGGATTTTGCGACGGTTTTATTTTCCGTCGCAAATTTGCGACGAACATTTTTCCGTCGCAAATTTGCGACGGAAAATATAATCCGTCGCAAATTCCGTCGCAAATTTGCGACGGAAAAACGTTCGTCGCAAATTTCATGTTTTTTTGTAGTGATAGTGCTTACTGTGAGTTGGATAAAAACTCTGCGTGATGCATCTTTATTCCTATTTGATGGTAGTTTTTCTTGGAAGTTAACTAGCGACTCTTTCTTTTGTACTGGAGACCAGATTAAAGTTCCCAAACTTTTGAAGGCAGAAACTTTCCCACATTACATGGGAAAGGATAATTCCATTTCCTTTCGCTCCAAATCTATCCTTGGATTGATTTTTGATACGGTAGAATCATACCAGACAGAAAATCCAACCGGCAAAGGTGAGATTTTGTCTTATTCAGTTTTTTCTTACTCTCAAGACCTTTGTGAGCTGGTATGATAAATAATTATAGGAATGGGACAACACTCATTTAAACTGGTTGCTCTCACTTAGCTCTCCGTACAATATGAAGCCTGGCGATATTTGGATTTTCGTAAGTAGAAAGTTGATTTGAGATCATGCCATCAACCTCTCGGCCTTAAAAAAGAAAGTACTCTTTCTCGATGGAGTTGGTTGATTAGGATTTTATCCTATCACCGAGTCACCGAGTTTAATGAACAGATTTTGTGTGTAGTCAAACTTTTTCTTCTGCTGGTACTTATTTCTTCTTATAATAGTAATCAGCTCCGATTTTCGTTTTTCTTCATCTTAGCTCCGATTTTCGTTTTTAGGGATCTGGAAGAGCCCATATTTTGATGTGGAAATCCCGAATGACTGCCGAATGGAGTGGGGAAGACGCTACCCCGAATATAGAAAGGAGATGGAAGCTGCTCTAAGCCAAGGTGCAGAAGGGAAGGATTGCTCCCCAGATGATGTAATAAAGAAATATAAGCAGGTATATTTATCTTGTCTTCTCTTTTATGTTCTCCAGTCTTAGTCAGAACAGTGCTCTAGAGAAACAAGTTACAGAGGACAGAGAAGCTCGTCTTTAGAATACTTCCTGTAAGACCTAGTTTGAGAGAGAGAGAGAGAGAGAGAGAGAGAGAGAGAGAGAGAGAGAGAGAGAGAGAGAGAGAGAGAGAGAGAGAGAGGTGGTTTTAGGAAATTCATTTTCGCATAATTCTTCTGGTACAGTTGCTATATGGTGCACCGGATTTCGAAGAGAGCCCGAGGAGGTGGGACGATATTTTCAATGAGGCTCTTGCGATCTATAACATTTCGTACGAGTACGCGACGGGAAGGCATGCCGCGATCGGAGGGAAAGCCATCGGCTTATGCGGATTCGCTTGGAAAGTGGCGGGTCCTGCGCTCTGCCAGATTTATGCCATGAAGCAGGGGCAGAAGTCGATCGTCTGCCTACCCTCAGTTCTAAAGGAAATCTTCAGTTAAAACTTCTGTTTGGCTTTAGCTTAAAGTGTAATTGTTTATATCCCTATTATTTATCTTATCCTCCGCAAATCTCCTGTTTTCTACATAACAAAAGACGCCTTTTAGGTTTTTACTGATAGAGGTGATCATTCGTAAGGTTGGATTACATTTTCACCGAACACCACCTATTCTAAGATGTCAAAAGTGTAATCGACAATAGACTTAATTATACTTTTTGAAAATTTTAAGATTTAATTGCACTTTCTAAAAGTTTTAGGATTCAATTATATTTTTATGACAAGTTTTAGGATTGTTAATATACTTATCCCCGTTTATATTTATGGTGAATATCATGAAAAATCCTAAATTGGTATACCCATGGTAAATTTGCCCAAAATTAATTTTTTGATCACCAAAAACTCAAAATCGGTACATCTGTGAAAAATTTATCAATCGTTAGTTTCTGTTAAATTGCTGAATTGGATGGCACGTGACACTGACGGGTGTACGAGTTTGGTGTTTTATCCTCCGTTAATTTGTGATTTTTCGTGATATTAATTAAATATAATGGAAACTAATGGAAGGTTAATTTGTCATAAGTGTACCAGTTTGGGGTTTTTGGTGTTCAAAAAATTAGATTGGGGTAAATTTGTTATAGGTGCACCAGTTTGACATAAATTTATCAAAAGTGTACAATTTGTGGTTTTTGGTGATATTAACCCTTATATTTAAAATGTTGGGCTCGGGCTCAATCGGGCTGGGTGTTCTTGATAGATGCCCTAAACGTCCCGGGCTCTTGTGGTTCGGGCCGGGCTTGGGTGGGTTTCAAAGGCCCGTACGCACGGTCAATGAACAGAACTTAATTTCTGAGCCGCACTTATGTAAATATCTTGTTTTGAGAATGAACTCTCTGTTCGGTGGAGTAAGTCATCAAAAGCGGATTGTACAGAAACATCTGTAATCGAAGAGGAAAAAAAAATAATAATGAATTGCAAAAATGAAAAAATGCAAGAATATTTTGGCAAAAGCCGCTGAAATTGTTGTGATCGGTCCCCTGTTACGCCAGTCTTAAAAAAGTGCGCTCGATACGTGCGGCGACGAGGTTTAGCCGTTACATTCGCATGCTTGGATGCATGCATGCACTCGACATCTACCTTAACCCCTCCGAAGCACACATAGCATCGACTACCATCGCCACTACTCGACACCTGTACTCTCTCTCTCTCTCTCTCTCTCTCTCTCTCTCTCTCTCTCTCTCTCTCTCTCTCTCTCTCTCTCTCTCTCTCTCTCTCTGTTCTATCGGTGAGCTACTAGAACGTCGGTCGGCGATGATCGCACTAAGAAGAGCCAGTTCGTCGCTGGTAATGCTCGCAGCAGAACAAGGTCGATCTCTCTTCATCTTCATCTTCATATTCATCACCTTAGTCAAATATCTATCATTCTACTCTTCCTTTTTTGGTTTGGTCGCCGAGGAAGCTTCCTTCGATCTTACTCGAAACTCGCGGTTCAGAGTAGATATCATATCATATGCCAATCGAGTTCGGTTATGTAGAAGTTTTAAGTGAACGAGAGAGGGATAGTGAGAGCACTATTCAGTAGATGGACGACCCGCTGTGCGGTTTTTGGGCTTTGACATGTTTTCTGTGTTGAAGCAGAGGAGTGGTGGTGGTGGCGGTGTCTTGGGTCTCCGTTTCTACGCGAGGGTTTTGTCTCTGCCGTGGATTTGTGGCGGCATTGAGGCTGAAAGGCGGCTTGATCAGAGGAGAGAGGAAGACTGCGGTGAATATGGAGAGCACGATGAAGGAGCTGAGGGAAGGCGAGCCCGTGCTTGAACCAAAATCCAACGTGGGCAGCGGGGTTGAGGACGTTTACGGCGAGGATCGTGCCATTGAGGACCAGTTCGTCACTCCTTGGGCTCTCTCTGTCACGAGGTTTGCTTTCTTTACATCATTTGATGCGTTGCATGTACGAATGTGGAGTGTTTTTGAGCCAAAATAGATTTTTCTATTTCTTTCCTGGATAAGTTTCCGAGCAAAAATATGCGACACAAAATTTCTCTTCTGTGATCGGCGACTGGCAGGTGGACGGTGGGCAAGCGCCGAAGGACGGCGGGCAGCGACAGGTGGACGGTGGGCGAGCATCGGAGGACAACGGGCAGCAGCAGGTGGTGGAGGACAATGGGTGGCGAACGGCAGGAGGCAGTCGGCGAGGGATGACAGATGGTGGCGAGAGGTAGACGGCAGGAGGCAAGCGGCGGGCAATGGCGGATGGCGGCAGGATGTGGGATGCGACCGGCGGGCGGCAACGGTGGGCGGCCGGCTAGTAGCAAGAGCGAGCAATGAGGAGAGTTTTTATTTTTTATTTCTATTCCAGAAATAGAAAAGTAAAAAAATTTTACATCTCATTTTTGTTTCAAATCTATTTCTGAAATTAAAATTTATCTAGAAATAGAAAATGAAATCGCGTTACCAAACGGATTTTTGTTCCAAATTGTTGAGGAAAACTCCTGATAAATTTTGAAGCTGACAAAACTCTCTATGTTTATCTTGTGAATCTGACATGCATTCCATTCCAGGTTAATATATTCTGGAAGTTCAGAAAGAAATATCAGACTTTACAAGATCTCAGAATGAGAAGTTCAGACTTTACCATAAAAGTCATTCAGACTCTTTTTAAGTCTTTAAAGAACTTCAGACCCTATGAGAAATAGGTTCATATCTTATTAAAAGAATCCCACTAATCTAAGTTCTGAAAGAAACGCATATGCAGAAGTTATGCAGACGCAGACGCAGAAGTTTTTCAAATGCAGAAGCAAAACTCATTCAGAACGAATCACAACAGCTAGTGATCTGGCATGGATTTCACAAAAGGAAAGTTTTGATTGTCTCAATCTAAAGCTATAATTGATTGATAATCAAACATTATGACAAGTGTGCATTACAACGGATAAAGCTCTACTTATGGAAACCAAGATTCTAATTGTATGAGCGACCAGAATCAGCGGGATTCAGATTTTGTCAAACAACGGCTACTCAATCCATTTTATACAAATCTGTCCAAGATGAAGATTGGAAGATGATCCTCTGAAGACTGTCCAACGGCTAGTTTGGAAGTGGAGGAGTATAAAAGGAGGTCTACGAGGAGCAGAAGATATAAAACAAAATCGACAATCAACAAGTCAAAAGTCTGAGCATACTCCGATCCTTTTTTTTGTCTTTCTTAAGCTAAACATTAAGATCTTGAGGGATACTTTGTAAGAGTGATTATATGAGATAGAGAGTCCTATCATACACAAGAGTGCTGTCACTCAGAATCGGTAATTCCTCTTGATTACATAGTGAAATCTAGCCAGTAGGCCGTCAGCGTGGGAGAGTGGACGTAGGCTTGCTATAAGCCGAACCACTATAAACTTGTGTGCAGTTTTTCTATCCCTTATCTCTTACTTTACATACTGCACATCAAGAGCACTGTCTATATAAACTGTTTTGAATCTGAATTTTATTCAGACTCTACTGTGTTCTATCATTTCCGCTATAAATTGATTCAAATTGTTTAAAATCACCTATTCACCCCCCTTTAGGTGATTCTTGCTAGCTACATCACAAACCTGTTCCTAAGAACATGAAAATAGACAAATAGAGAAACATAATGGTTATTATGCGCCCACGGTGGCCGACTCCTGGAGTTGTTAAGGGCACTTCAGCATCTTCAAATACTGAAAGCATGGTTGTCAGGATATGCATGGGAATATTGGCAAGGGAATCAACTATCTCGCCGAGTAGTGTTTTTGAAATCTAGTCGTCGTCGACTCTCTCTCCTGATATGCAGGCTTCAGCCTTCAGCAACCAGTAACAAAGTAGCTGACTTAAGGGAGTTCTTAAAGGCACTGCATCAACTATCCCGCCAAGTAGTGTTCTTTAATCTGCAGTTGTTGTTGACTCTCTTCCCAGCAAGAAAGAAAGCACATGTCCGGTAAGCACATCGGAGTATTGGCAAGGGATTCATGAAAGCACGGGCGATTACTTCTGATTCTATTGTTCGGAGAGAAGCATGGAACAGCCTAACCATGTTGGACTAATTCTGCGAAGGGGACGGTGTCCTGATGCTTCAGCAACAATTGTTTTCATCATATGGAGATCATCATATCAGCTGTTTCCTAGGTTGCAAGAATTCATGCTGCAGTTGTGCGTCCACCCGTTAAAAAACCTAACCAAAATGCTGACGTGACCGTTAAGTGTCGCGCTAGCTCTTAGGTGGCAGCCACGTGGCTCCTATGGCTAGTGACAGACTTAAAAATTTTATAAGAAGTTGCAGAGAAATTTGGAAAAGAAGAACAAAAGACAAGGTGGTGAGAGGGGAGGGGAGTCTGGTGGCAGTGGCGGCAACGGAGGCAGCCACCCAGTCTCCGGAATACGCCGAGCAACCCTCATCCACGGCTGCTGCCACCTCTACCAGGAAGGTTGGCTCTTACAAGGCTAGGCAAGGCCCTCGCCGCCACAGAAAGGGTCATGGTTGCAGCCTTTCGCCTTTGATCTGCAGCGAGCAAAGGTCCCTGGACCATATAGATTGATTTCCAGAGATTAGTCCGGTGAGAAAGAGAATGAAGCATGGGGAAGAGGAGAGAGCGTTGAATGGCTGCTCTGAGCAACACCGGCAGCGGACTAAAGCACAATCTCTTTGCAGAACCCTCTGGTATCATGCATGTCTACTGATTAGAGAGATCAGGAACAGTTAGCTTTAAAGTACTTCCCTCAAGTTCATTTTCTATCTGGGTCGTTATATTTCCCGTCGCTGTGTGTATGTGATGCAGCTCTCTTCTCTAAAACAGCTGTGAAGCTAACAATTTAGGTTCTAATCTTGTCCGTTCTTTGCAATTAAATTCTAATGAAAATAAGCACTTAGAGCTGCCATACTTTTATGATTACTAGTGCTGTCTAAACACAGTTTTCTCTGTCTTCTTTGGTTATTTTCTCACTTTGCTTCCCTCCACTTACTGATTCAAAGCGATGACATCCACTCTGTCTACATTTTACTCTGGTCTGCTTGTTAGCGGTGAGAT